AGGGGTACATGTATGCATCCCTACCTCCTTCCAGGGCAGTGTGGTGCCCAGGGGCAGCCCTGAACCCCTACGCCCTACTCTCCAGAGAGGAGCACCTTTGCTAGCAGCTCCCTGCATAAATGTCCCTCCCGCTGTTAAGACGCTCAGGGGCCTCCACAGCCAGCGCTGAAACTCCCAATAGGCCCACCAGCCCCTCTTCCCCACTCTGCAACCCTCCTTCCTCCCTGCTCCCTTTCTTCTTCCTGGCATTCTCAACCTGGGAAGTGGCTCATTTAAGTGGAGATCAGTCACTTTGGGCAATCTGCACATCTCACAGGCAATTCCCCTGATTCTGAGGCAGGGGGTCCTTGGGAACCAGTGACTCTAAGCCCCTGCCCCATGTCCCATTTGTCCAGATGTCGCTGTGTCCCCTGAGCACATTCTAGGTCTCCCTGCCCTATCATTTACATTCACACCGGCTTCCCATCACCACCTGGAATGTTCCCCATCCATCAAGACCAATGCAAACCACACGCCTCAGAACAAAATATCACCCCTCTGCAGTCTGAGCATACCTCTAGCCCTTGCCGCTAATCATGACCGGATCTAACATGCACGGTCGGTGAGGTCCAGCAGCGTACAGATTAGGGTATGGGCTCTGGACTTGGGCAAGTTGTGTTCCTACCCCGTGAGAGCCTGCATCAAGAGGCTGATGGAAGGAGTGCTGAATGAATTCATGTAAAGTACACACACAGTGTCTAGTACAGGGCAACTCCTACATTAACATTGACCGAGATCACTTCCTGGTCCTTCCGACCACCTTTTCATATTAAACTTTTCATCTCTCTAACTGCAGTATATGCTCTTTGAATTCAGGGAGGGTCATAATCGACTTCATTTCTGGGTCACAGGGAGGCATACACGGCTCCCAGGATACATGCTGGAGAACAATCAGGGTGAAAAGTGAGGCTCTCAGAGCCCCCACCATCCTGGCCGGAAACATCCATTCAGTACGAGGGGGGAGCGACCCTCCCACCCTGCCACCCCACCACTACATTCAGAGAGAGGGTGAGAGTTGACTGGGGTTTTCTCTTGGGAGAACGTTGTCCCCATTTAAATTCGTTCATCCCTGTAAGGGGCCGGGAGTTATGTTTTCATTAATGGGTAAAGTGGGAGGCTTCTAGCTTCTCCCCAGCCTTCCCACTCCCAGGCCCACAAGCTCGGGCTCCAGGCGGTGGAGGCATAGAGAGGGCAAGCTGCGTAGAACCAGAGCTCGCCCAGGGCTCACTGGTCAGGGCAGCGGATGGGTGCCCACCCTTCCAGGGCGAGTTTGAGCAAAGCTGTCCTGAATTTCCTGGCAGGCGTCTGGGACTGAGTCCACACTCCCCTCCTTTTTCTGAAAAAAAGGAATGCTCAGAGCTTTAATGATGCCTTCCCTCTAGATCTGTTGCAGGCCCCTAACTATCCTCATTCAGGGCAGCTGCTGCTACATTATTATTGCTCAAACACCTTTGAAGCTTTCAGAGTCAAAGCCTCCCATTGGCTGTGTGGGACACTAAAAGGACAGAGAAAATGGGCTGGTAGGAGCAATAGCTGAAGAAACCCCAAAAGCCCCCGTGACCGGAAACTGTCCGACAGCCTCCCAGTGGTGCCCCCAGAGCCAGCTTCTTACTAGGAACACCAAGGGACCAGGTGGCAGAAGGAAAGGGACAGGGCAGTCCCAGCCTTGCCTCTTATCTGCTGAGAAGGGGCCACGGAGAATTACAGAATGTTGGCTTCGTGTCTCCTCAGAGTGGTGATGCTTTATACATAGCTCACAGGACAGTGCATGACGCGTGTGCCTGCTGTCCCAGCTGGTCCCTCCTCAGCCAGCCTGCCCCTGAGAGAGGCCCCTGGAGACCAGGTCTTATCACTGAGGGCAGGGATCTCCATGTCAAAAGAGCCCAAACTCTCCTCTCTGCATGCTTAGCAGGGAAGCCACTCAGGGATTTCTGTGAGCCAATGCACTTACTGAGTTACGAGCCCTTCTGATAAAATTGAGTCTCACTCCTGAGTATTCTTTAAAGAATTTTTTAAAAATTATTCTAGAAAAGTCTGACTTTCATCCCATCTACTCAACTGAAACGCCTCTCTTGAATTTGGATCACCAGTATCACATTGTGGACTCCCCAGTGCCTCTCCCGCTCAGACCCCAGAGCTCATCTGGGTCTCCTGAGTGTGCCCCACCCTCCCACCCTGGGAAAGGAGCCTCTCATTTGTTCCTATCCCCGCTTCCCCTGGGTCCTCTTGCTTCAGAGCCAGGCAGAAGACACTGCACCTTCCCAAATTCTTCTCTGTCCCATGGCTTCTGAGACACACCAGTAAATCCCCTTTACGCTTCCAAAGGGCTTGAAGGACACATAAGCATAAGGAACAGCTAGTAGTTAAATATCCAGCAGGTCTTTGGTTTTCATTCAAAGGCACGCAAGAAGCGGGAGCTAACTTTCTCAGCTGCTATCAAGGCCAGGTCCATAATTCTGGCCCAGGGGCAGCTTTGCCCAAACAGCACCTTTCATTTACTTTAGAACAGGTGTTTCAGAAGGGAACCCCCCCACCCCGCCATGTCCCCACTTCTCTTCAGCCCCAGATGCTGCAGATAGGCAGGTGTAAATTACAGTGAATTCCATTCCCCAAAAGACTGTTTATTTACGTGTCAAGGAAAACTTTCCTTAAGTCGCCTCCCCTCTGGGCAATCTCTGCTTTAGCCTCCCTCTGACAGTCTCGGCCTCTGAGAGGAAAATAAAGTCAGACCATCCTTTATAACCTACCCACTCCGAAGTGACCTTCTACAGACAGTTTGGCTTGTCTGTAATTTTTAGAATCAAACCTCAGCCCCTAACGAACTACTGTACACACAACATGGATGAGTCTAAATGCGTTATGCTAAGCGGAGGAATTCAGACTCAAAAGGCTTCATGCTGTGATTCCGTTTACATGACATTTTGAACAAAGGCAAAACTGGAGTGACAAGAAGGGGACACAGAAAATTGTTTGAGATGATGAAATTGTTGTAGAATCTTGATTGTGATGGTGGTTATGTGATTCCGTGCTTTTGTCAAAACTCATAGAACTATTCACTAAAAAGGGCAAATTCATAAGTCATACTTCGATACACCTTTTTAAAGTCAATTTTTAAAAATGACATCTATTTTGTTCCAATCGTTTTTGGAATAAGGCAAGGCTGTCAACTTTTGCAAACTCCTCACCCACCTTTGAAAGTGGGAACTGGAACTCTGGAAAATCACATATGTCAAAGAAAAGGATCAGTGATCCCTGCAAAAGGTGCCTTGTTTTGAAGGGGGTTCAGACCATAGGAGACGTTCCTTATTGATTCATTCATTTATTCATTCACTCCTTCAACAGCATCGATTGAACACTTCCCAGGAGGCAGACGTGAGGCTAGGCAATGAGGAAATGGCTTGTGGAACAAGGTACAGCTGCTGCTCATGAGAGGCATAGAGTCTAGCGATCTGGAGAGTGAGGGACTGGGTAGAAGCAGAGAGAAAGTAGACAAACAGAGACCACGGGGCTCCTGGGAGGGGCATCCAACCTCATCCCCGCCAATCGGGAAGCTTCTGAGAGGAAGCCAGCCAGAGTGTGAGTCAGCTGGGAAGGCAGTCGGTTTGAGGACCTCCATCCGTGGAATGTACACACGTAGATGCCCAGAGTGAGAAAGAGGGATATATTTACAAATTGTAAGGATGGTGAGAGCTTTGAGACCAGAGAACAGCTTTGCTGGAGTCATTTCTGTCTCAGGGGCATTTTCCTCTTTTCCTGTTGCTTCCACCAGTCTGAGGCCCCGCTCTGAAGAAATCTGTGCCACAGAGGAGACAAAACCTTTGTCATGATTCAGGGTCACGAGAAGGTTTTAAACAACAAATCTTTGCTCAAAAATGAAAAGTTTTCAGATTAACTGATCAAAAGTGACTGAGTACTTGGGCTTCAAACTTTTCATACATTTTAACCTTGGTCTGTGATACTTTTTGTATCAGTAAAAAGGCAAATTCAAATGCCAAACAGGGGATGACATCATCAAAGAACAAGATCATCCCTCAAATCTCTCACTGGAGCTCCTCTATCTGAATTGTCTCCCCTTGAATCCAAAATGGGTTCATTTGCTTACCTTAGAGAGATTGTTCAGTTAATCCACAGGGACATCTCCCATGTTTCACTGTTAGGCCAGCTTTCTGAATTATGTAGGGAACAATTTCCAAATTGCCTGGCTATATTTTCTTATCTGTGCTAAAACCACTTAGGTTATCCTTTTACCTTGTAGAGAGGGATTCCGTTCCAGACCACAAATCACTGAGCAATGGCTGAAATCAGCTACAACATCGATCCTCCAAAAAGACACTATGGAGAACTCCCAGGATCCTCTGGGCAAAAGCTATGTCCGCTTTGCCACTGAGTCTGCTTTCACAGGCCCTTCGTCTGCAGTCATTATGAAGCTAGCCTTACCCACACTCAGCAGGAGCTTGGCTCTGGCATTGTAGCTGCATTGCTTCTAACCTTTAGCACCAAAGCAACTGGCTTGATTTCAAATGTATGGCTATTTCTAAGATGAAGCTGCTGGATAAATGAAATTCCATCGTCTCATTGTTATTCTGTTAGTGGCGGTAATGAACTTGAGTGTGGCTCGTATTTATCCATCTTCTTACTGGATGAGGGCAGATTTGTTTTGCATAGTTACATCAAGCTGGTGTAGTGTAATTCTTCTAAGATAATGGTATCCTGAGTCCCTTTCTACACAGGAGAACTCCAGGGTGTCCTGAGCTTCTCCCACCATTTGAGCCCCACAAACTAACCTGAACTCCTATAATCAGACCTTTGTTCCCTAATGCTCCTTCCAGATGAACAGGAAAGGACAGAGGGTGAAAGGATCCTGAAGGGGGTCCTGTCTCTGGGTGAAGAGGAACAAGAGGAGGCGTGGGAAGGAGGGGTCTGCATGGCGGGCGGCTGGAGCTGGGGATTTTGCCTTGCAGGGTTACCTGTCGGAAGGGTTGGTAACGAAGTGGTACCGCTCACCACGTCTGCTCCTCTCCCCTAACAACTACACCAAAGCCATCGACATGTGGGCCGCGGGCTGCATCCTGGCCGAGATGCTCACGGGGAGAATGCTCTTTGCAGGTAAGCTGCTAATCGCGCCACCTTCCTTCTCCTCTGGTGTCGTTCTTTTTTGTTTGTTTGTTTGTTTGTTTGTTTTTCTTCTTTGATTGTTTTTTCTTTCCTTTTTTCTTTTTCCTTTGGTGTTATTCTAGAAAAAGGAAGAACTGCATGCACAAAACACGCTAGACTTTCTCTTTGAAATAACCTCTGTGGCTTTTTATGGCATAACTTGGAGGCGCCTTACTATCATTTCAGGCAAAACACTAGAAAGACTAAAAATAATCTCTGAGGACAGAACTTCCAAAATCAAGTAACTACTTGTATTTCAACACCTTGAGATTGACTGCTGAAAACACTTCCATCTTCAGCCCCTTCCTCATCTCTCCCTGCCGCTCTGAGCAGTTGTTAGTCTGGAGTGCTCCTTTGGAGAGGGGACCTCACACAGGAGTCCCTAAACCGACCCTCCATGAGCCCACTGCAGGGAGAGGCCAAAGGGCCTCCTTGGGAGCAGACCCTGATGCCTAGGCACTTTCTCAGTGGGCATTGACTGTATTTGCATATGCTTAGCACCACCCAGGGCATCCTGGGGGGGACATGGAAGAGCCCATCCTGGGCCACCAGCCTCTGGCAGACTGGAATCCCATGGGAACCAGTGGTAAGGGGAGGGCCCACTGTGCAGCTGAATGAGTCAGGGGAGGCTCCTCCAGGAAAGAGGCTTAATTTGAGGATTCAGCCTGGCAGAGGAAGTGGAAAGGCTACTCATGCAAAAAAAAAAAAGAAAAGAAAAAAAATAGAAGTGATGAAAGGAAGAGCAACCTGGAGGTGAGAGCAGGGTCACAGGGAGACGGGCCGACCAGCAGTGCTGAAGCTCTGTTGCAGACCCAGACCAGCAGTGCTGAAGCTCTGTTGCAGGCGTCAGCGTTGCCTGAGCGTAGGAGACGCGTTTCTGAGATGCACAAAGACTGACGCTCCTCACAGATGAGAAAGGTATTCATTCCCAGCATCCGGAATGATGCCTGGCAGAGAGAAGGTGCTCAGTAAATAATTAGTTGTTGAATGAATGAACACTTGATTCCATCCTGACCCACAGACCAGGCGTAGCCTGTCTTCCTCCCTCTGCCAACAGGAACACAGGGGCACAGCCCAAGCCCAATTTGTTATTCCTGATTATTTTTCCTCCTCATTGGAGTCCCCCTAATCAGAAGCCAAAGGCTAAGGCTCATTCCCAGTCTTGAAATCCCTTCCTTCCCCTGCCTAGTAAAGAACATGTGAAGAGCCATATGGGAAGGAGCACTTGGAAAGCCCTGGGCCAGGCTGTTCCTGTCACTTTAGTGTCGGCTGACTCAGTCTGTACCAGACTGCTCCATTCAGAGGCAGAGACATATCACCAAACCAGGCCCCAGAGACAGCAAGCAATCTGCTCATAGTCACATAGCAGGTTAGTGGCAAAATGAAGGCCAGAGCCCAGGGCCCCTGGCTCCCAACCCAGTGCTGTCCCCACTGTCCTGTGTTGCCCCCCTGGAGCCGCTATGGGGCTTCCACACACCCAGTCCCTTGGACAGCACACTTAACCACCTGGCATTTCCTCCCCAGGGGCTCACGAGCTGGAGCAGATGCAGCTCATACTAGACACCATCCCTGTGATCCGGGAGGAGGACAAGGATGAGCTGCTCAGGGTGATGCCTTCCTTTGTCAACAGCACCTGGGAGGTGAAGAGGCCCCTGCGCAAGCTGCTCCCTGAAGTGAACAGTGAAGGTACCTGAGCTGGACAGCCAGGCCAGCTTCGGGGGCATCACCTCAGGGGTGGGAGCGGGTGACCTTCCAAAAGGACCAAGCACAGTCCTGGCTATAGACGCGAGCCCCCCGGCAGCAGCCTTTGCCCTGGCCGGTTCCAGGCCGAGGACGAGGGGCGCTGGGAGCCTGGCCCACAGGCACTCACAGCAGCCACTGTGGTCCTCCATATTCCTCCCCTGGTTTGCTTCCTTTTCTTTCTTGCCTTTCTCACTTGCCCCTCTCCTTCTTCTCGTTTACTTTTTCCTTCTTGGAAGGTGTGTTGTGGTGCAGAGAACATGAGCTTTATCCACCTGAGAGCCAAAGCCAGGCTCCATTCCCAGCTCCACCAGTGGCCAGCTGTTTGGCCTTGGGCAAGTTCTGAACTCTGCATTTCAGTTTCCTTACCTCCTAATAATATATATTAGACAGGGTTGTTGTGACAAGAAAGCAAAAGAGAATTTGCAATGCCCCGGGCACAGGAAGGCACTTAGACATTACATTACCGTGGGGCCTCCTCCCTGTCCGAGGCCTCCGTAGGAAGCTGCCATAGAAGTAGGACGCAAGTTCTGCCAGTTGTGAGAAAGACCCAGACTCTCAATGGCTCAAATAAGAGTTCAGTCTTATTTAAGAAAACACAGATTAAGGCATTTATGTCTCTCTCGTATAATCATCCAAAAGCAGGCAGTCCAAGGCCAATAGGGGGACCTGCTCTACAGTCATGCCGGGGCCCATGGCCCTTTTCTGCCACCTGATGGTGCTGTCCTTGGTCCCTGGAGGACGGTGAGGAAGGAGGTTGGGTCCCCCTGCCCTTCAGGTCATGAGCCAGAATTTGTACACCTCGCCTCCACTCACGCCCTGTTGGCCAGAACTGAGTTATGTGGCCCCACCCCGTTGCAGCGGAGGCTGTGAAATGGGTATTTTATTCCTTGACACTTTGTGTCCATTATTATGAAAGAGAAGAACAGACACCAGGCACAAACGGGCACCCTCTGCCACACTCCTCCTCATCAAGAAACCAAGAACTTGGGCTAACAATGTCCTTGGCCATGATTCCCATTCAATCAAACCGCAGTAAACTGCTGCGGTTTCCCCATCATTAGAAGGGAAGAGCAGTTCTTTGATTCACCACAAATTAAGACTCAGCCGTCCCTATTTATTTTGATTCCAAGGCTGCTGTAGAAACCCCACCATGTGTCAAGAGATACGCTCACCACTCAGGAATTCTGGATCAAGAATGTGTCACCCATGTCCCCTCCTCCGAGCAACCACACAGCAGCCCCTTGGTGCCCTGGCTCTGAGGGTGGTGGGCCTGGCCTCAGGCAAGTCAGAACCGGTGCCTGGGTGAATATGATGAAGCTCCTTGCTGTCGTCAGCAGCATCAGCGCACATTTGTTAACCCGCTGTGGCTAGAAAACAGCCAGGAATGGAAATCTAAAGAGACGCAAGAGCTGGTCTAGCTGGGAAGACAGGGAATCCCATCAGGGATGAGAATGGAGATTAAGGACCACATTCTAAAGGGCTAGTGAGAGCTCTGGGCACTTGGGAAAGGGGAAAGAGCTGCCAAGTGCTGCGAGGGACGGAGGCCGGCCCACAAGAGCAGCGAGGGCCCGGATCAGCAAGATGAGTCACAAACCATGAAACTGAAGGGGTGAGAAGGTCCGAGAGCTTCGAGTGCCCAGCTGATGAGTATGGACTAAATCCTGCAGCTGAACAGATGTCCCCTAAAGCCAAGCTTGCTGCCCTGTCCCATCATGCCAACTTCATCCTAAATTCTCTCATCTGCCTCTGGCCTTGAAAAGTAAACCCATTCAGCCTCTGGCCTTCAGGTAATGAGGCAGCACTGATGTGGAAAATAGGTGGGAGAACGAGTACTTGAGCCCATCTGTCTAGGAGAGCCATTTGGTGATCCTCCGTTCGCTCCCTCTACTGTGCTTTCAAGGCCCTGCAGACACAGGAGGAGGCAGGGGGCCTTTCTGCTGTAGCCCTCAGAGGCTCAGGGGACGTAGTCTAAGTGACCATGTCCCCTGACAGCTGACACAGCATCATGCCACAGATACAGGACAAAGGAGGCAGGCCCTGAGGCCACCCAGTTCTGAGCTCCATTTACCACCAGAAGTAAATACACCGCGAGTGACAAATCAGATGAGGAAACCTAACACACAAAATGGGGAAGGAAAGCTCTGGGTGAATCAGGGGCGAGAGCCTCAGAGCCCTGCCCAGCTGGATGCCCCTAAGCATTCTTCCAGAACCTCTGGGATTCTGAGAATCCTGAGAAGCCACTGGACCACAGAAGGGTGACAGGATGGTACAGAAGCCTCATTATATTACCTATACCTTAAAAACACCTGCGGGAGTTGAGCCCAGGAGAGAAAGGAGGTGGGGGAGGGAGGGTATGGTGGTTGGTGAGTTAAGGGTAGGCTAGTGCCATAGCAGAAAATCTGAAATCTCTATGGCTTACCCTGCAGTAGTGTATTCACTACTGACCCCAAGTCCAGTAGGGGAGCCTGGATGCTCTGTTGGGGACCCAGGCTGTCAGAGTGGATGTGATCTTCAACACGTAGCTTTCAAAGACCCCCTGGGCACCAACCTCCAGCTGAAGCCAAGGGAAGGGAGAACAGAGACTCTTGCAGCAGGTTTCTTGGGTGAGGCCCAGAAATGGGGTACACACATCACTTCTAGCCCATGCCATGGAGCCCACCTATCACACAGCCACATCTAACTGCGGGGACAACAGGAGAGGAGCAGGCATGGGGAAGAGAGACCATGCTGATGTAGGGGGACCACAAAGGGCAGAGCGAGGTTCAGGGGAGGTTAAAGGGTAGGTTTGACAGAGAAAGGATTCTCTAATATTGGGGCTTCCTAGAAGCGTCTGGGCACTTGCTAGAGGACCAGCTGTCAGGGAGAGGAAAGAGGAGTCTCATCCTTGGTAGACTCAGTGGAGTGGCCTTGGGGATAGGTTCTGTCCAACTTCAGGGTTCACTGGGTCTTTTTTAATAATGATGGTAATGGTAATGATGCCTGCTCTTTAAAGCTTTAACTCTCCATTTCCTCGTCAAAGGGTCCCACGTTGTCGGGTGGGACCAAGGGAGGGGCAGGAGGCCCAAAGAGGAAAAGACGTGCCTGCAGCTGGGCAGTGGCAGAGCTGGGCCGCGCTCTGCAGTGCCCGGTCCTTCCCAATGCTGGGAACCCGCGAGGCCAATCCCCTTTCAGGCCCGCAGCCCTGGCCCAGGAGCAGCCCCTGAGCCCCAGTGCCTTTGGGGATGATCAGAGTTACTGCTGCATCACTAGTCTCTCAGTCTGAGGTTACAGAGCAGCACCGCATCCTCCTGGGAGGCCACTGACCTTCAGAATCCATCGATTTCCTGAATCGTTGATGAATTTTCCTGCCAAGAGACCCAGAGGTGGTGTGAAGGGCAGGATAATGGTGCGGCTGAGGCCCACCAGGAGCCCCTCCTAGGGGACAGCAGCCTGGGCCTTGAGCTCAGCAGCACGTGGGCTGTGACATTATTAGCCAAGTCCTGATTTAAGTGGAGCCCCCAGCACTGAGAAGTAATGCAAGCCCCCAGGCTAGACCTTGCTGAGACAACGCACCCCTGAGCTCACACGCAGATGGGCCTCACCCTGCTTACCCTGCTTAGGAAAAAGAGCCTTGGTATCTGTGCCCAGAGCTGATGGACAACCAGAACACCCCACTGAAACCTTCATGTACTTTCATGCAGGTTGGCAAATAACCACTGCTCAAGGCTTCTGAGTGTCCCTTCTGTCCCCAGACTCCAGGTGCCAGGACCTGCCCTTGGTCTAGGCTCCAGGGGTGTCCAACCTGAGCCCGCTGGCCACATGTGGCTCAGGATGGCTATGAATGTGGCCCAACATAAAATCGTAAATTTACTTAAAATATTATGAGTTTTTTGTGTGTGTGATTATGTGTCACAATGTATTTAATGTGTGGCCCAAGACAACTCTCCTTCCAGAGTGGCCTGGAGACACCAAAAGGTTGGACACACCTGGTTGGCACTAAAGAGTTACTGCCTGGCATGGCGGGAGGCCCAGGTGGGGAAAAGTTTTGAAGGTGTAGCCTGCCTGCTTTTATTTGTCAAACCTCCCAGGGCAGCATGTGATAGAGAGCTCTGGACTTAAGCTGGGCGCTCTTGGCTACCAGCCCTGTCCCACCTGCCTCACCTCCGCTGCCCTTTCTTACGGAGGCTTTCCACTGCTGGCACCTGAGGGGCGCAGGCTCCCCCACCCGCCGCGGCAGCCCTCGACCCAGACAAATGTGAGCAGGGGGAGAGATACCCCAGCGTGCCCCCTAAGCGGAGCCGCCTCCGAGGTGTGTCCCACGCTGTCTCCTGGAGGACCCCAGTGGAACTGAGCCCCAGGGGCCCACAGGAGGAACCTGCTCATTGGCACATCCTTGACTGGCTTCTTCCCCCCACCCCTCCCACTGTACTTCCAGGGATCACGGCCATTTAACCGCCTACATCCCAATCCTTCTCTCTGGAGAAGTCCCGCCTAAGGCAGGGGTCTAGCCCTAGATCTCCTGTAACCAACCATGACCCTCAGCAAGTCCACCCCGGGCCTCTAGTACTTAGATTTGTGAGGTCAAAAGAGCAGCATCTGCTCCAAATTTGTCACTGGATTGTGGTGAGGGTCGTGAGAAAGAAAATGGCTGAAAACCTTTTTTGTACAAGTGGAAAAGTACAAATACCCGGGAACGTCACCCTCCTGAGGGGGTCTCCTTCTCAGAGTGGCAGTGGCCACAAATGGCTTTCATGTCCTGTTCTGCTCCCCACAGCCATCGACTTTCTGGAGAAGATCCTGACCTTTAACCCTATGGACCGCCTAACAGCCGAGATGGGGCTGCAGCACCCCTACATGAGCCCGTACTCGTGCCCCGAGGATGAGCCCACCTCGCAGCACCCCTTCCACATTGAGGATGAGATTGACGACATCCTGCTGATGGCCGCCAGCCAGAGCCAGCTCTCCAACTGGGACAGGTGTGTTTCCAGAAACTGCCAGCCCTGGAGTCTAGAGCCCACATTCCCATGATCCTTTGTGACCTTTCCCTCTGTTTTCCATGTTGTATAGCCCAGGGGCGCTTCCCCAGCGTACTTCCCTGCCTTTCCCTCTCCTGTCCCCTGACACGCCCAGCCTGTCGCACCCCTGTGCACAGGTCAGGGGCTTTCCTTTGGGCAGCACAGCCATCGTCAGCTCTCCTCCGCGCCCCGCGTATACTGGGCTCAATGCCATGTTCCACAAGCGTTCATGAGCAATGAGCTGACTTCTAGCAGGCTGGGAATTTGCCCTGGAAAAGTGAACTGCAGCAACGCAAGGCAAATAAACAGTGCAAAATTTACCACCATACCACTCGTTCACGCGTTCACATCGTTTGCACCTCCACGGAGTGCCATTAGGGGAGGTATCATTATTGGTATTGCCCATTGGCACCTGAGGCAGCTACAGCTCAGAGAGGTAGAGGTTGGCATTGTGTCACACAGCCAGTATCTGGCCCATCCAGGGTCCTCCCCAGGCTGCATCCATGTCAGACACTGCTAAGCAATCCCAGGACTCTTTCCTGCTAAACTGGGCTGGGCAGCGGAAGCCTTCTAAACACAGTGTGTCCAGACGTCACTACCAATGAATCAGAGTTGGGTAGAAGATGCTTTTAAAGAAGATACTTTTAACAGTCTCTGTGTAGGCAAGGCACTTAATGATCTCTTAGGTCCTTTCCTATTCTGATATTCTTAGATCACACAGCTAAACATTTGGGAATCACCATCTGCTATCCCTGGGAGGGACAGCCCTAGCTGCTCAACTTAGAAATAAAGTCAAGGGCTTAGCAGCTAGGACTCCGAGGGGTCTAAGTGGGAGCCCCGCTGTTGTGGGGATGTGGCAGCTAGTTACATATGTAACAGATGAGCAATTCCTCCTTTTCAGCCATTTGATGGGTTTCAGATTAAGAAGGCTCCGCCAATGGCGGAGGTCAGGGCCACGCTGCTATTTTTGGACAGGTTTATTGGTTTGTCCATATCGATTGTTGTCATCGAGTTGCCAGCAAATGGAGATTAATGAAGACTCTTCTGCCACCCGCCCCGTGCTTGGCCTGCCCTTGACTGTGGTCCCAGCAGCCCCTCTCCCTCCACTCCACAGCATTTGGGGACTCGGTGAGGTTCACCCCATGCTAATCATAGCTGTAGCATGGGGTTGGTGCCAGGGAAAAACAGTAGCAGGGTTTCTGCCCGTCAACGCTGACCACCTCTGAACCTGGTACACCTCTGCTCCCAACCTTTCCTGCCATACCTGTGTGAGGGAGGCGAACGACAAAGGTGGTGGCAAACCCCTTCCTACTGGCCCAGCTGCTCTGGGCAAACTGCTTAACCTCTGAACACCCGTGTCCTCATCGGACGCAGTGATAACACTGAGTCCGCAGTCCAGGCTGTGGACTCACAACTTCTGTTTGGCCCCCGGTGGGGAGCAGCCGAGGGGTAGGGTCTTCACAAGTTCTTCCTCCTACACTTATTTGCAATTTTGAGGACCCTCGTGGGAGGAGGCCGCGCTCACCTCTAGGCGTGGCCCCAGCCCTACAGGTGTCACCGGAAGGACAGGCAGTGCCGGGGCCTTGCTGTGCCTCTTAAAGGGCACAGACAGTCCCTGCACGTCTGCACTTTCGCGCAGCCAGCCCTGCCCGTCCTTGGTGTGTTGGGTTTTCCTGTGTGAGCAGTAGGTCCCCTGTTTCAGGAGCAGCTGGCGGCTGGCTGATGCCTACTCTGAGCTCCCTGCCTTATCCACTCCTCCCCCCAAAGGTTCTGCATAGAGCACCTGGCCCAGGGAAGGGAGGGCTTGGCCTGAGCTGATGGCTGGCTCTCCTGCCCGTCTGCCCTTCATTTGCTCTTGGCAGGCTGCCTTCACTTTCTATGGCTGCAGAGCAGTTAACAGAGGGCAGCATTCCAAGGATTTCTGGCCTCTCCTGAGGAGCCCATAATCTTTCCGTAGGCCCCACCTGCTCTGCATCTAGGCATGGCGCCGGGGAGCGGGTGGGGGATCCAACCAGACCCCCTGGGGCGGGAATTCTCAGCCCTGGCTGGACCTTAGAATCGCTTGGGGGAGGGGAGGGTTAAAATGATGCTGATGCAGGACCCTACCCTAGACCTACTGAATCAGAATTAGGGGGTGTAGGGCAGCCATGGGATTTTATTTTTAATTCCCTCAGGTGATTCTAATCTGAACCAGGGCTGAGAAGCACTCATTAGGGCCCTGCTACTCAGAGTGTGGTTCCTGGGCCGCAGCATCAGGTGGGAGCCTATTAGAACCGCAGAGCCCAAGGCCCCAGCTCAGACCTCCCGCAGGAGATCAGCATGCTAACACTGCCATCTGCGGGCATGTCAAAGGTTAAGGAGCACTGCATAGGTGCACCCCCTGGAAAGTAAGTCCCATGAGAACAGGGATTTTGTTGTTTTGTTCACTGTGGCTTCTGGCAATGACTAGAACAGTGCCTGGTACACAGTAGACGTTAAAGAAATATTGGTAGGGTATTTAATGAATTAAGAGAAGACAAGGGTTAAGTCAGTCCTTCTACCTGAGCCCTGGAAGCTCACACCAGTACTTGTCCCATCACGCTCCCACCTTGGAGCGGGGTGGGGACAGGAGCCAGGGGGTCGGGGCTGGGGATCCAATCACCGTTCCATCTGTATCCTTGCAGGTACCCCGTGAGCCTGTCATCCGACCTGGAGTGGCGGCCGGACCGCTGCCTGGACGCGAGCGAGGTGCAGCGCGACCCGCGCGCGGGATCGGCGCCGCTGGCGGAGGACGTGCAGGTGGACCCGCGCAAGGACTCGCAGAGCAGTTCCGAGCGTTTCCTGGAGCAGTCGCACTCGTCCATGGAGCGCGCCTTCGAGGCCGACTACGGGCACTCCTGTGACTACAAGGTGGGGTCGCCGTCCTACCTGGACAAGCTGCTGTGGCGCGACAACAAGCCGCACCACTACTCGGAGCCCAAGCTCATCCTGGACCTGTCGCACTGGAAACAGGCAGCCGGCGCGCCCCCGACCGCCGCCGCCGTGGCCGCGGACGCCGGGGCGCGCGAGGACGAGCAGGCCAGCCTCTTCCTGGAGATCGCGCAGTGGGTCAAGAGCACGCAGGGCGGCCCAGAGCGCGCCAGCCCGCCCCCCGAGGGTCCTGAGCACCGCCTGTCTGCCTCCCCGCCCGGCCACCCTGCCGCCAAAGACGGCGGCGCCAGTCCCCAATTCGACCTGGACGTGTTCATCTCCCGCGCGCTGAAGCTCTGCACCAAGCCCGAAGACCTACCGGACAATAAACTGAGTGACCTCAATGGCACGTGCATCTCCGAGCACCCTGGAGATCTCGTGCAGACCGAGACTTTCTCCAAAGAAAGGTGGTGAGGGCTGAGGGGGCGCTCCGGCACAACCCCCACCCCACCCCGCTGTGGGAGGCCACCCAGGAAAGCCGGGCCTGGCAGGAGGAGGCCGCCGCCCTGGCACCTCCCCGACCCCATCTGCCCCTCTCTGCTGCCTGGGGGTTAGCAGAACACAGGAAGGATCCGAGGAGCGAGAGGAATGTCCATTTCTTAAACTGCCTTAATAACTAGCCTTTAACCTCTGGGAGCGGGTTTGAACAGGAGCCTAGTTTGGGTTGATCACTTTTGCCGCGAAGAGAAGGCCCTTGTGTTTTATAAGTGGTGGCGTGCAGGGAAGAAACTGTCTTAGACAGCAGTCCGCGGGCCCTGCCTGATGAGAGGCGGGGGAGACGGGGATCTTGCGGGCCTGCTGTTGAAACCGTCTGGCCCAAATAGCCTCAACTGACAGATGAGGAAAGACAGTGAGAAGCAGAGAAGCAAAGTCTATGTTTAGTCCCCCGGCCCCCAGCCAGTGGCTGTCCGCTTAGAATGCCTTCCGCTGGGTCACACTGGCTTTGCAGTCAGAAAAGTTAGTCCAAGATGCATCTTCCCTGTGCGTGACCATCTGGCCCATTCCACGTTCTCTTATTCAGAGCAATGTTTCTTGTATTCCAAAACTGGAAACTGAGCCAGTGTCTTCTCCCTCCTCGAGCATAATTTTTCTGGTGCCTCAAGTACATAAACATCCTCATTTGCCATGCCCCTGTGTTTGCCTCACTCCTGCATGATCTGAAATCGGTGTTTAGATCAGACCCGTTTGGGGTCTGCAGGAAAAATAACTCATTGTCCCAGGCCTGTGCACACACCTCACCCAGTCTCCTCATGCACTTCCCTGACACATGCTCAGACACGCGGACGGCCCTAGTTCCCCAAGGGATATTATATGTGGGTGACTTTGACGATAGCAATTTCATGAATCCCTCCAGAGCTCCCTCCCCCGCCAGCCCCGCACCTAGTGAGGTGCTCACCATAGAGCAACTATGTGAGGAAAAAAGATTTCAGATGGGCCCTCTGAGGCTTCATTAACATTGCCCTTGATTTTGATCATCCATTTAGCCCTGGCAAAGAGCAGGCCCTAAAGAAGTACATTGGAGAGCAAGTGGCCGGGGGCAGAGAGGGGGGATGACAAGGAACCCAGGAAGGTAGGAAGATGTGAGAGGCGACAGTTGGGGCACTCAGGGGTCAGGGGGCAGCATGGAGGCCTCATGACGAGGGAAGGGACTCCAGGCAACCGTGGCCCTGCTAGTTTAGGCCAGGATGAGTTGGAACCTGCAGGCCCAGAGGGGCACTCCCACGCGGAGCCCGAGGTGATGGCGTGGGGGCTCAGCGGCCCCTCCGCAGAAGCATAGCCGGGCCCCTGGAAGGCTGTGCCGCTCCCGCCGCTGGTGTTCGGCTCCATCCCCACCCCGCAACACACCCAAAGATGCCCATGGGAAGAAGTCTTGCCACTCGAGACAGAGGGTCCCCCAGTCTTGGTCTTGGCTGTGTTCGCCTTCACTTCAACAGCACCTTAAATCTAATCAGCTAACTAGGATTTGTACATTGAAACCTGCAACATATTAGAAACTTCTATTTAAAAACAGAATTACTCACACTGACAGATTTTTAAATGGAGAATATGTAAATAGGAAGTATTTGGTTTTGTTTTTTATTTTAAAGAAAAGGAAATGTACACCGCTCCTCATGTGCCATTTGTCCTCAGAGGGTGGCTTTACATTTTTAGTAAAGGAACAAGCTGCTGACCTTGCCCAGAAGTTCATATATAATTGTTATTACAGAGGAATTGTTATTACTACTCATATTTTAAAAAAATCTATTAAGCGTTATTACACTTGATCCGGACAGGCCAAATAAAGTTTTATTGGAACATGGATTCATTTGTCCAATTACTTATTATCTCATTCGTTTACGTATTATCTGACCTTGTCTGTAGCAGTGGGCGACTGATCGGAACCTGGTTGGCTTCTCCCTGCGCCCATGAAGGCCAGTGGTTTCAGGGACCGCAGTTGGAGGGGAGTGAAGATGAGAATCTACACAGATTGGTAGTCAGCAGTGATTCCAGAATCATCTAGGACTGGCCTTGTGTTTATCTCAAACCATAGATTTCAAACCCTCTCTAGGAGCCAACTCCAAACCTCCTGACCAAGGCTCATCCTTTCCTCCAGTCACAAAAGGTGCCAACAGCATGAGATTTTGGGGAGCCAAACACCCCAAAACACCTGCCTCAGCCACACCTGACAGAGACCTGAGATTCCACCCACCTGGAGTTCACCCTTTTGTAATACCTGTACCCAAACATTAGCCCAAACTTCATTTGTTATTCAGCAAATATAAATATAGACAACAGAGGGTTTTAAAATTTTGTTTCTGTTTATTTTGACTTCCCTGAAAGACCTTTTGACTAAAGACTTTTTTTACTGTTGAAATGCATCTAAGCCAAGAGGAGCACCCTGTTAGGCCAATTGGGATTCCCTCCAAAGTCTCAGCGGGGAGTAACTATCTCCCAGCTGGGAAGGTGGGAATAAAGAGAGTGGCCCAGAGCCAGGGCGGAGCCCAGACTGAAATTTGATATTTGGGCAGCCTTGGGACTTGGGGTTGCTAGAATGTAGAAAATGGGGTTTGAAGCAGAAGGAGTCGAGAAGTCCCAACAGCAAACGGCACCGAAAAGCGTCTCCTCCCAAAGGGGTTGCATGGGGACATGGCTCTCCCAGCAGCCATATGTGACAACCTGTGTTAAGTGTTACCAGTATCATCAGGGAAGCCTCACCTGAGCTCTGCTATCCAGAATTTTTACTGGGGATCAGCCATGTCGGACTCTGTGGCTGATCTGTGTTACTTGGCTCTCCAGCCCCTCAGAGATCAAAGCCATACAGCACAGCCCGGGGGCTCAGACTTGCCAAAGTGCTTGCTCCGGGCAGGATATTACAAGGGCTGAGAGGTTATCTCCCGGGAGCCAGTGAAGGGCCAGGCCCCTGAAGACCGGCCTTCCTTTAGAAAGTACAAGGCTCGAGAAACAGGGACCTGCTGAGTTAACCCTCTGCTGACTTTGAATATAATTGTGTCTCCTGTAATTTCCAGGTTGTGTGAGAGTTTACGTCTCCTGTGAACAATACAGCAAATTGGAGGTAACACAGCTCTCTTATTTGGTAGAATATGCCTACATATTTTTAAGAATGTGCAGCATCATTAAACTATAATAATAAAAATAATAAAAACATACATGCTGAGGCAGGTGTTAGGCAACCTAACACTCAAGATGCCTTTTCTTACTGAATCCCGGTCTGCCCATGAAAGCCAAACATGTCAACAGATTTGCAAGCTAGCTTACTGCTCACTTTGTCAGCTTGGTCATTAATACTGGGGTGCCCTCGCTGGCCTGGCTCAATTAATTGGGCATCATTCTGTGAAATGAAAGGTCACTGGTTCAATTCCCGGTCAGGGCAATGCCTAGGTTGCAGGTTAGGTCCCCATCAGAGAGCATATGAGAGGCAACTGATCAATGTTTTTCTCTCTCACGTAGATGTTTCCCTCTCTTCCTCCCATCCCCTCTTTCTAAAAAATATGTAAATAAATATTTATTTTTAAACTGGAGCAATAATGGTACATGCATGATAGATTGCTTTAGGGAGGAATCATTCCCTGCTACCCCAGAGCTGTGCTGGAACTCCCAGCTGAGGGCTTCGGAGTTCTGCGGCTGAGGGAGCTCCCCGGCTGTGCAGCTGCCTGAGGGTGGTCGCATGAACCAAGAGGAAAGACAGAAGTGAGGATGTCAGCTGGCAGGCTAAGCCACGTCCTGCTCCAACCCTCGGAAGAGGGTTCTCTAGGGGCTCCGGTGGTGAGAGAAAGAGATCAGACTCCTCGCTTATGGGCTTCAACCAGTCATGATTAGAAGGTGTGATGGTTAATTTCCTGTGCCAACGTGATTGGGCCATGGTACTGGGATATTTCAACAAACATTATTCTGAACATTTCTGTGAGAGTGTCTTTGGAGGCAGTGGCCCTTGAGTAAAGCAGATTGCTCTCCATAATACGAGTGGGCCTCACCCCACCAGCTGAAGTCCTGAATAGAACAAAAGACGGACCTCCCTTGAGCAAGAAGGACTTCTGCTCACAGACAACCTTCAGACTTCAACCGCAACATCAGCTGTTGCCTCCCATTCAGATTTCAGGTTTGCCAGCCTCCATAACCGTATGTATATATTTGTTTTGCTGGAGAACCCTGACTACTACAGAGAGGCAGGGCATTACATGTGCCATCTATTTTATCTAACAACTGAAGAGGCAGATGTCCTCATACCCATTTCCCTAGTGACAAAACTGAGACACAAAGAAGTTAAATTACTTACCCAAGGTCAGCACAACATAGGAATTTAGAGCAAAGGTAATAGACCCAGATAGCCTGGGCTGAAATTCCAGTTCTCCCTCTCACTAGCTGTGTGACCTAGGACAAGTTATTTAACTTCCCTATGCCTCAGTTACCTTATCTGTAAAATGAGAATAATAACAACACCACGTGTCTCATAGAATCATTATGAACATTAAATAAGTTAAAATATGTAAAGCGCTTTGAGCAATACAGTGTTTGGTATGTAGAAAATGCTATACTATGCCCTGACCGATGTGGCTCAGTTGGTTGGGTATCATTCTGTAAAATGAAAGGTCACCAGTTCAATTCCCTGGCAGGGAACATGCCTGGGTTGTGGGTTCGGTCCCCTATCAGGGACCATACAAGAGTCAACCATTCTCTCTCACAGCGATGTTTCTTTCCCTCTCTTTCCCTTCCCTTAGTTTCTCTCTAAAAATAAATACATAAAATCTTTTAAAAAATAAAAGGAGCATTATCTTTGTTAAAAAATGCTATACTATAAGATCTGATAAATAATTAAAATAAACAAGATTATACTAATAGTAAATAATGGATCCAGCATGCAGACCTACTAACACTTTTAACATTGTCTTCTCTGGAGTTTTTACATCACCCTCCGTCAAAAATGTGGCAAATACCCTCCCCAAATCAACAACAAGAATGCCAGCCTTTGGAGGACTTGCCCACCCCAAGCCATCCCTTCTCAGGAAGTATGCTCTCTCACCCGCAGGCAAGGCCCCTGCATCCAGCTGTGTCCCAGGGTGGCCTTCCTCCTGCACACCTCTCCCCACCAGAGTGGCTGGACCAGGACAGTCACCTGACGCAAGTGAGGCCGATTGTATTCTCTCTGCTGGGAATTTAGGTTTATGATGCAAGATGCTTGTCAGTCTTTGCTATCGCTTGAACTGAGGACAAGCCAACTTCAGAATCGTGGAGTTACCAAATTTGTGATGTCCTTAATCACAGAGGGAGAAAAATAAAGGGAAGGGGGAGAGAGATGGCCCTCATGCTCCTGATCAGATTTCTTTCTGTTTTAATCTGTTGCTGGGACCGGGATGCAACGCTAACCCCTAGTTTCCATCAGGTACCCCCTGACCTTAGTGTAACTCCACCTCATGTGCGTCTCCCTTGAGTGGACCCTGTCTCCTGCACCTGAGAAGAGCCTGGCTCAGCCGCCAACCGTTGGGCTGGCCTTGCCAGCAGGAGCCCCGTGTTGGGCGCCCATACCTGACCTGGATGGGGAGGAGCTGTACCCCCTCAGTATACATGGACACTTTGCACAGGTGGCTCAGCACCACAGCCCCCGGTGAGCAGTGCTTTGAGAAAAGGGAGGAAGCTGAACAGTTCCATGAGATGAAGAGAGGGCTCTCGGAAGGATTTAGACACAGGCCACATCTGGGCCAGAGGTGGATGAACCCAACCATGGGGGAGACCTGAATGCCAGCGGGGAGGGGAGAATGCGGGGGACCTGAGCGGGCCCACCTCATCTCCTCCACATTCTGCCTGGGGTTGGCCTGATCTGGGCAGGGTAGAAGTCAGTCAATGCCAAGAGAAGTCCCTTTAGCTTAGCACACACACAGGGCCTGACATTCTCACTGGGAATAGACATCCAGAGACCAAGGACACCAGGTTATTGGGGTAATTAAATTTCCATCAAAATCTGTGAACATGAGTTATTCCAGCTAACAAATGTCCCCTGATCATAGGAAGGAGAAGAGCCACAGCTGTTTTTACCAAATGGATCCCATCAAATTAATT